GTTTTAATTTGCGTTTCTCTGATGATTAGGAATGTGGAGCATCTCTTCATGTGCCTATTGGGCATCTGAATTTCTTCTTTGTAGAAGTGTCTGTTCAGCTCCTCTGCCCATTTTTTAATTGGTGTATTTGCTTTTTGTTTGTTAAGGTGCATAAACTTTTTAAAAATTTGGATGTCAACCCCTTATCAGATATGTCATTTATGAATATATTCTCCCACACTGTAGGACGTCTTTTTGTTCTACTGATGGTGTCCCTTGCTGTACAGAAGCTTTTTAGTTTGATATAGTCCCATTTGTTCGTTTTTGCTTTTGTTTCCCTTATCCGTGGAGATATATTCATGAAGAAGTTGCTCATGTTTATATTCAAGAGATTTTTGCCTGTGTTTTCTTCTAAGAGTTTTATGGTTCAATGACTTACATTCAGGTCTTTATAGTATCTCATCCCTTTTTATGGCTGAATAATCCATTGTATATATATGTGCTATGATTTATTCATTCATCCACTGATGAACATGTGGGCTATCTCTACTTTTTGGCTATTGTGGATAGTGCTGCTTTTATGAAAGTGCGTGTACATGTATTCGCTTCAGTACACATTTTCAGTCCTTTTGGGTATATACTTAAGGGTGAAATTGTGGGGTCCTATGGTAATTTTGTGTAACTTTTTGAAGTCTAGTAGCTTATTTATAGATTCTACAGAATTTCTGCATAGTTGATCATGTCATCTATATAGAAAGATTTACTTCTTCCTTTCTCATTTAAGCACCTTTTCTTTCTTGCCTGATTGCATTGTTGAGAGCTTCCAGTACAATGTTAAATGGAAGTGGTGGGAGTGGACATCCTTGTTTGTTATTGAAAATAGGAAAATACTGTCTTTTCCCATTAAGTATGATGCTAGCAGAAGGTGTTTTGTAGTTGCTGTTTACTAGGCTGAGGAAGTTCCCTTCTATTCCTAGTTTGCTGAGAGTTTGTTTTTATTTAGTATATGTTGGGTTTTGTCAAATTCTTTTTTCGTCTGCTTGGATAATCATGGAGCTTTCCTTTTTAGTTTTCCACTATTTTGGGTTACACTGGTTGATTTAAAAATGTGAATCCATCCCTGAATGCCTGTGGTAACACCTTGGTCATGATGTGCCATCCTTTTGTATATTTTTATTCCATTTACTAGATTTCTGCTTAGAATTTTTGCATCTATATTCATGAAAGATATTTTTCTGTAGTTTTGTAATCTTTTGTCTGATTTTGCTATCAGGGTAATGCCAGCCTGATGAATGGATTGAGAAGTTTTACCTCTGCTTCAGGTTTTTTTTTTTTTTTTGGTGTGGGGGAAGAGTATCTGTAGATTGGTATTTCTTCCCTAAATGTTAGGTAGAATTCATCAGCAAAACGATCTTTTCTTTATGAAAAACAGATGGTGTGGGGGAAGAGTATCTGTAGATTGGTATTTCTTCCCTAAATGTTAGGTAGAATTCATCAGCAAAACGATCTTTTCTTTATGAAAAACAGCCTTTTCTTTATGAAGAAGTTTTTATCTACATTTTAATTTAATAGATCTAGGGCTATTTAGGTTATCTATTTTTACTCTTAAAATGTAGAATTCAAGGCTTTTTGTATACTCAGAAACAGTGTAGGAGGGTTCCCCTTTCTCTACATTGCCAGCATTTGTTATTTCTTGTCTTTCAGATGGTGGCCATCCTAACTGCTGGGAGGTGATACCCCACTGTGGTTTAATTTGCATTTCCCTGATGATTAGTGATGTGGAGCATCTCTTCATGTGCCTGTTGGCTGTCTGTGTTTCTTCAACTTTGGAGAAGTGTCTGTTCAGGTTCTCCACCCATTTTTCAGTTGGTTTATTTGTTTTTTGGGTGTTGAGGTATATGAGTTCTTATATACATAAAATGTCATTTTTCATGATAAAGACTTATATTTGGAGAAGCCTTGAAAGTGAGTTTGTCCTTCAGTCAGTGCCCTTTGCAGTAATTGACACATGACCATTTGAGGCATGGGGGGGATTGTCTTTGGGTCTTTGGTACCAGGGTTAAGCTTGTTGAATTTATGCATATTAACATGCAAATATTTCCACACTGAGCCAGATGTGTTACAGTGGCTCAATATTATAATTTGAAAATTATACTCAGACATCATTAACTTTCTCCTTTCCCTAATATTTTAAAAAGGCACAACTTTGTTTTCCATTTAATATACATTTAAGCTGATATTTAGCATATATTCAGAATGTGTTAAGTTTCCTAAAGTGATTTACTACAAGAAAAAAGTAGGAATATTGTAACTGTATAAATTATACAAAAACATGTTTGAGTCACATAATGAAAAAGCAGATTTTTTTTATTATGATGTTTCTCCATATTTGGCATTGCTGTAAATGGCTAACTAACATTTACTGCCAATTCAATACAAATGTGTGGTTTGGTAATACCAGAACAGCAAATTTAAATGAAAAATAAAAGTTAAACATTTCCACACAAGAGTTTACAGTCTGACATTTCACTGTGTAGGTAAAAAGACTGTTTTTTAAACTACAGATTATTATTCAGCATGAATAAAAAACTACAACTTTTATTTTTAAACAGGAGTCACTGGTTTTAATTTTTACACATTTTAAAATTACTGTAATAAAAAATAATGAAAAAGCTTCTTAATAATGCCATACACAGTATAATATAGATTTGTCCCCATTATATAGCATTTGTTTAATATACAAAATAGAATATTGACACACTTGAATCTATATGTAGTTAAGCAAGTTATCTGAGGAGGGTATTTTCATACAGCCTTTCATCAAAAAATAAAATCCTTCTTTCAGTTGTTTTCTAGAGAGAAGCTAATCCCTTATTGAAAATGTGGTCACTAATCCTTGGTGGACCAGGCTGACTGATAATCTGGAAAATGATGAAATTTCCATTCAAAGTGGTTGAAGTGTCCTCCTTACACTCTTATTTTCCCATCCAACTCACAAACCAGGCATATAAAATCACATTCATCTACAGCTACAGTTTTTTGGGTGACCAACCAAGAGTGAAATCTCAGGGCTGCCATGGTTCTTGAATTTCGTCAGATCAAGGTATAATATTTTTCATTCCATGGTGATGTAGTTTGAGTTTTAACAGAACTAAAATGGTATGACTTAATAGGTTATATGTGTAAGTAAAATTGAAATTGCTTATCCTCCCCACCCCCTAATTCTGAAGTAAGGTTGGGCTTTACATGCACATGCAGAGCTCATCCTATGTTAGTTATCAAGCTCTTTATAGGCACCAATCATGTTTTTCCTTTTGGGGTGACAATTTTGTTTTCAGAAGGCAGGGTCCCCTTCCATAGTGTACTATACACTACACGGTTGTATAGTACCCCACAGCAAGGCCTAAAAATACTAGGAGGGTCACATTTCCACCAGTAATTAAAAATAGTTTTTAGAATTTGCTGTGAGTTACCTAACCACGTCACCAACTCCCACTGAAGTTGCTACAGACTTAAATCATTTGGGATGGCAAGATACGACCTACATAGGAAATGAGGCTGCTTTCAGATAGCACCATATCTTTTTTTCATTTAAATCTATAATTATACTCAGAGATAATTAAGATAACTTTCCTCTTTCCCACATATTCTAAAAGGGCACAACTTTGTTTTCCATTTAATGCACAGCCTCCTGTAGTTTTATGAATGTCAGTTGACTACCTTTTAACAAAGAAGTGCACATATCTTTTTTTCACTGAGCTCTAATTATTTTTGAGAGCCCAGGCTGTTGGAACTAAATTAAGATTAATGTGTAATATGCTTTCTGGTTTTAACCATATAACAAATGAACAATAATTTACCGTTCAGAAGCTCTTTTTGAAACTTAACACTGTCATTGATAATAATATTCAAGTGCTATTTCTTAGACACCAAAAATTTCACATCCAGCCGGGTTACAATCCATCTTAAAATACTTTGAGATCAATTTAAACCATTACAAAAGGAACATTTCCCCTTTTAGAGAGCGTTCAAAAAGCAAATGATTACATTTTTTTATTAAATAATTTCTCCAGAATACTAAAAAATAACAAATAACATTCAAAAAGCATTTAAAGAAAACATAACCATGTCCTCATTTTGTTTGGAAATAAACTCTTGTAGGATAGAAAGGAATTAGTGTATTATTGGCAACCTATGAGATTCTGCACTATTTACATGTTGTTGGTACCTCTATGTGTATTATTGCCAAACTTCTAAAGCTTCCGTTTTTATTAAACTGTTGGGAGAGGCTGTATGTGAAAGTAACCCCAATATTAGATGGTGCTTATAAGCCTGTAAGCACCACCTCTCCCATGTACACACTTCATCGCAAGTGAAGATTTGGTAAACTCAACCTGCACTGACACACACTCACTGTTGGAATGAGAAGGGTGGTCATTTGGGAGGCAGAGGATGACTTCTTCCGAGATCTGAATGGGATGGAGCCTCAGCAGCCCTCAGTGCACACGGGGCCAGTCTCCAGCTCCCCTAGGGCAGACCTGTTTGGTTTCTGAGACCATCGCTGCCTGTGTGAAAGCTTGCACGCCCTACACATCGTACAGGCTATCCATCGACATCTCTTTGAGCCCTACAAAAAATATATGACTTGTCATCATAAAACAATCTCATCTAAAAATCATTCTTATTTTACACTATACAAGCTATTTTACACTCATTTTAATAAATTCATGTAAAGCTGCAGCAGCCCTTCCCTTCCCAGATTAGTGAATACCAATATGATATATATCTGAAACTATAACTAAATATAAAAATATATTAGAAGTTTCATATTTTAGTATTAGATTTTTCAGTTTCCTATTACACAAATAATTTGGCCACCTTGAATATAAATCTGATTTCTTGTGGCTTCGAAAATGTAAGTTTTGAGTTTACAGAAAGTTGGTAAGGTGCACACAGAAAGGGCTACTACAGCTTCTGTTTTGTTTAAAATGATCATTCTCAACAGTGAGGAGGAAAAATTCACAAGACTTGTTAGACTCTATGGCACACATAGGGGTGCGAGGGATGTGTAGTTTCACAAACATGGAAGTCTGACAGACAATTCCACATCACAAAAATCAGTAGCTGAGCTTTCCTGTTACCCCCAGGAAAGATAGACCAATTGGTGACAGACAGGAATGTGAAAATGGGTGTTTAGCCACTTTTGCCATGTTATGAGATTTATTTTGGGGGTGAAGTTTAGTGAAAGGAATTACTTGGTCTGATTAAAATGTCCCAGCTGTGTTTATTTTAGCTCGTTATCTGGAATCATGACTTTTAAGAAGTTATACAACCTACAACAAAAGGTCCTGAAAGACAGTTTACCAGCTTTCTTGCCATCTAACCACTGCAGAGACAGGGCATTAGTACAAACAGGGCCTCTTGGTAGTTGTTTTTTTTTTTCTTTTTAACTACTCTTTTGCAACTATCATCCACAGTTTACCCAGCAGATCACCGAACTAGGTATTCCACACCAGGTAGGACGGTTAATTTGTACAGCCTATGTAATTCTCCACTGAAGCAGATATATACAAAATAAGAGCTTTTTGACAAGAATACTGGAGATTTGAGTCAATTTTTGTGGTCTTCTGATAGCTAAGTGCCATCAGGTTAGAAGCACCAACCCATTTTCACATAGAAGATTACAGAGTTTATTTAGGAAAGCTATGACCTAGCTGCCCATTTAAACAGCTGTACAATGACTTGAATACAAAAATTATGTATGAAATAATGAGCAAGCATAGTTCACTGAATATAAAGGAAACTGTTAAAACCAGACAGTAATAGCTATAAAAGGCACAACTTCCCTTTTCTGATATACACTTGTAAACTTTTTTCAGGTTTCCATGCATAAATCAAAAAATGCTATCCTAACTATACAGGGGAAAGTACACCAACAGAAAGTCTAGAACATTTTGTCCAGCCAACTGTGAAAAGTATGAGCAGAAAGTTTGTCACACAGACTTGGGGCACTGGTGGTTCAGGTGCCATCCTTCCCTGACAGTGAAGATCACCCCCAACGGGACTATTTGTAATTTTCAGGATTCACCAACTATCACTTTCTCCTTCTGCCATCGCTAAAAAGTGTTGGCTCGACTGCGTCCGTTGCCAAGTCTTGGCCCTCCATAAACCACGTGTAGTGCATATTTAAAACAAAAACCAGACAAAAACAGACAAAAAAATAAAACAACAAAACCACTACAGGACAAATTGATAAGTTTGTACAGTAAAAGCTATAAATTCAACTTTCTTTAAGGCATCCTTTCTTATTAAGGCAGTCACTTTTGATGAAACAGAAGTTTTTTGATATTTCCAGTTGAATATTTTGGTATCTGATTGGTGATGATTTCAGCCAACATCTCTGGGAATTCAACACTTATGGTCTTATCCAAAAATGTTTGGAAGCAATAGTTAAGTAGATTTTCAACCACCTGCAAGATAAAGTATAGTAATGATCAGTTTAAAAATGGGGACATCTTGTCTTGTTGGCCTCTATTATTTCTTTTCCCTTAATATCTGACTACAATACACCACATCTGCTGGAATTCCCCAGGTTAAAGAGAAGGTTACTTAATAAAACGAGCACCTAGGTACCAAAGACATCTTGAATTCCTTAAATTGTGTATAGAATTAAGTGTTCCATGATGAACAGCGGTACCATAATATATGAAGGACACACTCTAATTCAATGGATTGATCTTACATAAATGGAATTCTACCTTTTGAAAAATAGTGCTGTTAAATTCTGTACTAGCATCATGATTATATGCACATGACTAGATGAAATGACATTTCATAATTGGCCTTAAGAAAAAAGCGTACCAAACTAAAGTTCACAACTTGAACATCACCGAAATCTACAAACAAATCTATCGGTATATGATTACATATAATAATCAGAACATACTTTGTCAGAAAATTCTTCTGATATTTGGATTTATGTTTGACACTTACATCATGCATGGAGTCCAGGAGTTTTGTCAGTTGATAGAACCGCTGCCAGTTCTGACTGGAGTTTCCTTCCCTCTTGACAATGGCTTTTCCTAGCTCTTTGATGTAAGTCATTCTAATTTCATCAAATAGCTCTTGGCTCTTCAAACCTTCCTTAGGAACTAAAAGGTTAAGATATAGTCAATTAAAGAATTTTTAAAATAACTTTTCAAGTATACAAGTAGGGCATTTATTATCAGCACATTTCATAATTTAAATAGTCTGTATACTCTTACTGTATTCTATTAAAATACAAGCATTTTCAAAGATCATGAAACTATAGCCAAGAAGAGAATATGAGATAACAGAAAACTGAAGGACTTAGCCTTGGGAAAATCACTGTTTCTCATCTGTAAAATGGAGCTGATGATGACACCTTCCTCCTCAGTTCATAAAACTAGTTTGAAGACCAAATGTATATAATTCAGTGACTGTTATTCTGCCCTTGAAGTCTAATTCTAGTATAGACACAGAAGGTTTCAACAAGAGTGTTTACTCCACCAATTAACATCTTGGAATATCTGTGATGTCACCAGTCAGTTAGAACATTAAAATTAGCATGTAATACATTTTATTAATCAATGTGTTAATGTACTGAGTTGATACTATTAAAATCTAAAATGAAACTAAGTTTAAAAAAATATAGCCCCATATATATGCCTTACTGGGAAACAAATATCTGCTTTCCCTTATGTACTTAGAAATACAGAAAATACCTCATGGATTCTGGATAAGATTGGTATGAAATCAGTTAAAAAAATTTTTCTTTTTTAACCTTGGTATTAGTAAGAAGGACTGTCAGCTGAGGGTTAATCATGGTTTCCCTTAATCTTGCAGAGATTAGGGTTTCTGTTGAGTGCTGCACTTCCCAAAGTGCGCTCTGGGGACCTCTGGTTCTGTGTTAATAGCGGTTAGGGAAGAAAAGATATGATGGTTAAAATTTAAGCAAAGCTAAATAATTTCTGCATTTCAGGACTTCTCAGAGCTATAATTATGCACTCTCCAGGGAGGGGAACAAATTGTTTCTCAAACTTAATGAAGAGCAGGGGATTTAGGAGCAAGAAGCCTTGCCCTGTGGGATTTAGTGTGACCTCCTTGAACCTCTGTTTTCCTATTCTGTCTTTCTCACTGGATTTTTAAAAATAAAACAATTTATGTACAATTAACACATAACATTAGTTTTGGATACCACATAATGATTAGATATTTGTACATATTTCAAAATGTAAGACTAATTAACATCACCATACATCGTTACAAAATTTTTCTTCTTCTGACAACTTTAAAGATTTACTTTCTTAGCAACTTTCAAATACATAATATGGTATTATTGACTACAGTTGTCATACCCTACCTTACGGCCCCATGACTACTTATTTTTTAGCTGGAAGTTTGTACTTTTTACTCCCCTTCACCTATTTCTCTCCCAAACCATTTCTCTCATCTGTGTTGTCGCAAATGGCAAGACGTCATAACTTTTTTATGGCTGAATAATATTCCACTGAATATATATACACTACACTATCTTTATCTATTCATACATTGGTGGCCACTTAGGTTGCTTCCATATCCTGGGTATTTGTAAATAATGCTGCAGTGAACATCGGGGTATAGATAGATATCTTTTTGAGTTAGTTTTGGTTTACCTTGAATACCCAGAAGTGGAATTACTGGATCATAGGGTAGTTCTACTTTTAATTTGTTGAGGAACCTCAATACTGTTTTTCATAATGACTGGACCAATTTACATACCTACCGACAGTTCATGAGGGTTCCCTTTTCCCCACATCCTTGTCAGCACTTTTGTTTTTTTTGATACTAGCCATACCTCAGAGGTTTTCATTTGCATTTCCCTGATCAGTGATGCTGAGCACCTTCTCGTGTACCTGTTGGCCACGTGTATAGCTTCGTTGGAAAAATATCTATTTAGGTTCTCTCTTCACTTTTTAATTGGGTGGTTTGGGGTTTTTGTTTTGTTTTGTTTTTTTGCTACTGAGTTGTGTGAGTTCTTTACATATTTTGGACATTAATCCCTTTTAGATATATGATTTGCAATTATTTTCTCCCACTTGG